CTCTGCTAATTGTCAGTGTTGGAGATTTTGCCTTTGCTTTTTGGGTGATTTTGGTAATAACACACCCAAATCAAATGAGGGTATATCAGCTACTGCTGATTTTTTAGGACTTTGTTTCGAAGCTTTGTTGTTCTTCATTGATGAACTTCAACTGGAGTAAAATGGGGAACCAACTTTGTTGAAGGGTTTCTTCAATTTTCTGTGAATTTAGAGGGAGAATTTGGTTTCAGAAGATGAAAAATGGTAAAAAGAACGTGGGTATGGGTAAAACGTAGATGGGGCTGAGGGGTTAGGAGAGAGAAACTTGGGATGAGTGGGGATACTGGGATATACATATTCCTTTAATTAAGGAGTAAAAAACGTACAATTAATCATACCCTTAATTAATTATGGTATAGAATTGGTAATTTGGTATACATAAGTGTAATTAAGTCAAACCTTAAATATTGGGGGTAATAAGTTTTCCTATGTGGCATAGGAATGTAAAAATTACATCCACTTATAGAGCTAAAAATGACCTTGCTGTTAATGTTTGGGCTCACAGTTGCCCCTATTGTTAACAGCCCATATCCGGTTAATAAATAATAATATATTTTAAATGATGTGGCATCAAACTATTGGCTGATTTAAAACCCACCCAAAATATGTCCAACCTACCCATTCTACCGGACCCATTACACCTACCCATTAAACTCAGTAGATATTTTCTAAACCCAAAAGAAGGTCCAGTATGTTCATGAAGATGCTGTTGATTTACTTGCACTTTAAATTCTGGTTTTGAACAGTATATTTGTAAAGGGTTTTGTAGTTTGAATCCTTTGTACAGCCTATACAATTGTTTACGGCCTAATGGATGTTTTGCTTTTCGGCAATTTTAATTCTTACAATGGCTGCAATCAAGCCTTGTCACAAGAATATGTCTTTCAGTTAAAAGATCTTTACAAAATATAATCTTTGTAGTTTGGAGATTCTTGGAAAAATCATGGAACATAGGAATGAATGAACCTAGAAGAGTGATCCACTGTATCAAGGTTGGAATAGCTCTAAGTGTTGTATCGTTGTTTCAAGAACAGAGCTTAAACAGAGCTACTTAAACTATCAAAAACAGAGCTTAATCAAGGCTAAAAATTTCAAGAAAATTGCAGGTGCAACACTTTACAAATGCTTAAACAGAGCTACTAAAACTTTTTGAACCAAAGAGAAGTGTACAAGGAGTAAAAAAGTGCCAGTACTTATAATTACACTTTTGCAATCTGGAAGCTAAAATCAAATACACAGACTTCAACTAACTGTAATAGACTTAATTAATATCAACAGAGGATTCAAATCAGGGAATCTGCAGAAAATATCAACTGAGCTTAATGGGTAAGTTCTGATGGGTCCGGTAGAATGGATGGGTTGGACATATTTTTGGTGGGTTTTAAATCAACCAATAGTTTAATGCCACGTCATTTAAAATATTATTATTTATTACTCGGATATGGGCTGTTAACAATAGGGGCAGTTGTGAGCCCAAACATTGACGGGAAGGTCATTTTTAGCTCTACAGGTGGATGAGGGACAATTTTAGACCATATCTGATAGTTTAGGGGCAATTCAGGCCCTTTTCCGTTTATATAAAATCAAGGGCATAATAGACTTTTCAAGAAAAAATGTGACTTTTGTGATAACTAGAGCAAAGTAAAACGATATTTGTGTAACAAAAGAAAGAAAAGTGACTTTTGTGTAATGAACACAAAGTTGAATGATTTTTACGTAACAAAAAAAAAAAGTGACTTTTGGGGAAAAAAAAAATTCAATAACCATGGATAAAATTATCTCGAGTATCACATGAACTAGGTAATTAACGTATCTGGGATACCCAATTCCTTTACTGAAGCAAATATATAACACAAGGATAAAAGTCTTTCTGGAACATTATATTTTTTTGTTTTTCATGTACAATCAAACCTCTCTATAACAGTCTCGTTTGTTCCGATATTCTTTGGTTGCTATAGAGAACTGTTGTTATAGGAACATATAAAATAAGAGAACATGAAAAAGTGGTTCCAAAGGAAACTTGGCTGTTATTATAGAGGATGACTGATATAAGAGGTTTAACATCACCTCAGTTTTTCTGCATTATATATCACTTTGTAGCAAGAAGGGATACCCAATACCTCTTCTTCTAGAAGGAAAAACCACAAAGAGAAGACTAATCACAAATCCAATCACTAATGGAACAGTATTGATGACTTTTCTTGGAACAACAAAATGATAACAGTGAAGCACATCATTGTGTGATGCTGCAAAGGTAAGAAAAGCAATCAAAGAAAGTGATGCATGAAAAATATCAGACCATCTAAGTCTATAATCTCTTGGCACACAAGGCTTTATTCTTCTTCCATTGAAAGTCCAAATGCCACTGAATGTTGCCACCCCATAATGTAGTCTCCCTCTAGCTGATTTAAAGCTGTCAGTGAAAGAGAAAAACACGCAAGAAATAGCCGATAGGACCAAGAAAATCGCAGTCATATATTGCTCAAACTTGTTGCATTGGCCATCATTGGTTAGTATGGGTGCAAAAATGGTGAATGCTAGGATTGTGGCAGTTGGTAAGAGGACGTTGAGGCGAGCCGTGCCACTTAGGATTGTGTTGATGATGAAAATGAAGTTGGAATCCTTTTCTTCTTCATCATATTCTGGGAGGTAGAAGTCATTCTCAGGTTCATCAATTTCAACCAAATGTTGGTACATATTGTTGTTGTTCTCCATCTTGAATTGGTGGGGTTGCTGAAATACGAAGGTGCTCTCACCTTTATTTCAAAAGCTTAATTATACTAAGATAATGGTCTTCAATGACTTGTGAAAAAGGAAAAGGAAAAGGAAAAGGAAAAAGCTTAATTATACTAAGATAATGACTTGTTGAAAGAGGTTCTTGCTGAGATTTAAGGAAAAAGCTATTCCATTTCTTCTAATTGTTTACTTCCTTTAGATCAAACTCTAGGAAAGGTATCATTAAGGGGTGAAGCTTCTTTTTGTTGTAGGATGGACGGTCAGGGGCAGAGCTAGAGTACCGGGAGCGAGTTCGGCCGTACCCGATAGTTTTGGTTCGAACCATGTACTTGTTTTAAAAAGTTATATTGAATATGTATAAATCAATAAATTTAGAACCTAATAACTTCAAACGATCAGAATCCCGAACCCATAAGCTTGAAATCTTGGCTCCGCCACTGTGGACGGTAGCGTAGGGGAGAACAAGAACCAACGTGGTTTTTCTTCTTTTGGGTTTATGGTTCTTATTCTATACTCTATCGGTCCCATTTTAACTGTCATTTTAGCTTTTTTCACCCCTTAAGAAAAAAATAAATACGACATATAATTTACTAAGTTATCCTTATCAAATGCTTTTGAGAACTGAACAATATTAATAAGAAAAAAAAATATTAAATAGTCTAGACGTATCCGTGTCGAAAGTGTGTGACATAAACTAGTTGGGACGAGTTTTCGATTCTATAGAGGTACAACTGAAAAATACGAAACAAAAAGCGCCCGTGGCCTAATGGATAAGGCGTCTGACTTCTAATCAGGCGATTGTGGGTTCGAGTCCCACCGGGCGTGTCGAATTTTGTTTTTTCATCCTAGTTATTTTTTGGTTTAATGTTGCCAAGCAAATCCTTGTCTTAATTTTGTTAACAATTGTTATTTGAGACTTAACTTGGAAACTGAATTACAGCTGACTGAGACATTCTCAATTTAAGATGTTGGATTCACTATTAAAGCTGATTGAGTTGGTTTTTATGCTAATATAATTTATCATACATCGGTTTATTTACGAATGCGTGATCTATGTTAGGTTGTTTTTTAGGAAACTACCAGTTATATCCATTCATAAGTAGTTTATTACAAAAATTGATCAATTCAGAAAATATTACTAATATTAGCAAATTAGCTATTTGTAGCCAAAAAGGTCAAATTTTTGTTTTCTTTTGAGTGTTATTGGAATAGATTGTGTACATCTTAAGGAGCTTGAATCTTAGCTTTGGGATGATTTGGTGGAGTTTTGAGGTGGTTTGAATTGAAAATTCGAAATAGAAGATGAACATGAAAAAGTGATGTGTATCAATCACACCGTGTACCATTTGTGTATCATATTTGTATCAATTATGTATGTATACATGTGTAAGATACATGCGTGATACGTGTTGATATATGTGCCGTAAAAGAATTGTTTGAACTCGATTTAACTATGAATTTTGATACCAAATCAGTCTAAATCACCTCCAATCATCCTCAAAATTTGTATATTGACTTTATGCTTATTTCGTGTGTTTTGCTTTTACTTTGTTGAAAAAAGTTCATAGGAAGATGTTGATATTACCATGCTTGCTTAACTTGCTTAGTAGCCTTCTTATTTAACCTTCTTACTATTATCTGTCATGTCTGAATTATATATGTTTTTAATGAATTTCAACCATATTCATTGCAAGAGGTCCTTTTTTGCTTAAATTTTTCGAATATTGTATATATATAATATAAGAAGACCAAGGACCTCAAATCCCGCTGATGTGGGACAACTCAACAATCTTTGCGTGTGATTCTTAAAGAGAAAGAACCTTATTTATTTGGGTTTTCAATTTCTATACGTGTTTGACTAATTTTTTTGGTAAGTCTATAATTAATAGCTAGAGGTTGGTAAGTTAGAACTTATTTGGAATATTTCTATAAAATTCCCTTGTTTTTTCTTGTTTTTGATTTATAAGTTTTCACCACAGTTACACGCATGATGAAATCGAGACCCCTAAATCTATCGCGTTACAATCCCACAACAAACGAAGAAGTGGGCAATGCCACCAAAGCCAATCTTTGTTCTAAGTGATGTTTTTATCCAAGAAAATTTTCGTAATACGAATAAAGGATGGTGTTCAAATAATTCCCTTAACACAGACTAGTCTTTGTACTTACAACGCCTTCAGATCCCTCATGAGCAGGGCTCCAACAAGGTGACAAAGTATAGTTGACAAGAACCTCCCTTATTTTCTTTTTTCGTATCGTCGTCTTCTTTACTTGGGCAGGAGAGGGTATAGATGAAAGATGAACAAATAGTTGTGTGAGGTTATTTTCAAGTTTTCAACGCAGTCGTCTTACATATGGGACAGATATTCTTCAGCAATAACCACTGCTTAATGCAATTAGTATGGAATTCATGCCCACAATCCAACATGCCCATGATATCTCCAGCTGTGTATTCCTCCTGATTAACAGTACAAGAAATAGAACAAACTTTAGCTAACAAATCTGCCAAAAAGTAATATCAGGTTATGTAAAAACGTCAGATAAGATTCTTACCTGACATATACAGCATGGCTCCAAGTTTGATGAGGATCGTCCATATACAGACTCGTGCTTTCGCTGTTTCATATGGACCGAAATCGTTTCTTCACTCAAACCTGTGTTTACATCTCCTATACGTTCTTCCAATGCCAATAGTTCCTAACAGAGACGAAGCAATAAGCGAGACCCGCATCTCGAAATTTAGTAACAGCAAAAATGAACTACATTACCTCATAGGACATGTTATCAACATCAAGCCTCATGTCTCTATGCCTATCATGGAACTCAGCAACTCCATTGATAAAAGGATCAACCAACATATAATCCTGAGAAACGAAAGAAATGCGAATAAAGTACATCAGAAGTGTCCACAAAAGTCACCAAAAACTACATTCACTAATAAGAAATCAACACATAAAGTGGCCAAGCAAAATTGAGTTGTTCTATTGGCACTCATTAGCATGTTCATCCGTTGGGTCCAAGTAATGAGCACATTTATGAAGAATGTAGGGTTGGAATAAGACTGTCCACTGAAAATTGTTCTTATAACGAGGGCATAAGTTAGAACCTTCACGATAAAAAATCAGATGCAATTTGATCTTGTCATGAAGACGAACAAAATAACTGGCTCCCAACACTTAAAACCTCATGGTAGGACAATCAAAAAAATAAAGTTGGAATACTACAAGATGAAAATGCCCACAATATTATCCATCCAAATTGCAATCAGATAACTAAAACTCAACCTATCAAAAATTTAAAAAGAAGAAAAATCAGGTAACTAAACCTTTTCCCTGATCCGGGCTATCATGTTCACCATGCAGGCAATATAATTTCCCTACCTTTCTTACTAAGCTAACATAGCTCAGCTTACAAGTATCAGAATAATGCAAATATTTTCAAGTTTACAGGGTTCTACATAAGGATTAAAAGTATATGTATTACAATATTCAGATAACAAGCTGCAACTCATTTCTGCTAATATACAATCATTAATTATAATAAGGATTGAAATAAAACCTCTGATCGCAAGTTTTCGACCCTCCGCATCGCATTCAGGACTTGACGAATCTGTTGGACATAAGTACGCAAGATTAATCAGCATTGACAATGTTTCCAATCTGGCGAGGAAATTATTGACAAGTGTAAAGTATCTCATAATCAAAACATGTATAAACAACAAAAAAACAGCTGCATATGTGATCAAGAAAGCAAACAGCAACATCCTTCTACGACCCCATTATAAGATCCCATGATGCAGATTGTCGAGAGTTGCAATTGTTTGTTGAATTAGTTTCACTGTTCCTTGAGCCGGGGTCTACTGGAAACAGCCTCTCTATCTTCATAAGGTAGGGGTAAGGTCTACGTACACACTGCCCTCCCCAGACCCCACTTGTGGGATTACACTGGGTTTGTTGTTGTTGTTGTTGTTGATGCTGCAGATTGTCGAGAAAACTTACTCTTTGCATGTGTTCTCTGAATTATGTACATGTACATGCATGTTGGGGCCAGCATATAATCCCCCAATCCTAAATAATATGAGTGAACCAGATCGGAGAAAAATAACCAAATATCCAACTGGAAAATAAAGCTATTAACCAAAGCAATAAAAAAGAGTTGTCTTGAGGAGGACAAAATAGCAAACGAGAGCAAATTTACATTCACCATGCCAGATGCAAGACAGCAAAGTTCAGATACCTGCACGGACAGCCAAAATACAACAGCTTTAGATATTATGTGAAAAGTAAACTCCGTACCAGTCTGTGTCGATCCTCAACATCAGCAGCTAAAGCATGCCAACCATCCACGTCATCACCTGGATCAACCATCAAACTTGATCTAAGACGTGGCTGACGGTAACCATGGCTACTTGATCGAGGAGACACCACTGCATCCTCTGAAGAAGAAGGAGCCGAAGGCAGCAGAGAAAATTGACCTCTCTGACTTCCAGACTCAGGCTCAACTGGTGGGAAGAGAATCCAAGGAGCAAATTCTGGTAATCTATGATGGCTAGTATTTGCTGAGATCTGATTAGTCCACGCAGTAGGAGAACTGCGTCCACTTGAACCAGGACCAACTGCAGAACTAAGACTGTTTCTTGAAGAGCTTGCATTTGCGGTAGCTAAGCTCCAATGTGTGGGGTCAAGTACCATATTTCTTGTCTCAGTAACAGGAACAAATGGATGCGACTCCCCGTTATTTCTGATAGTACTGAAGTTAGCTTCATCTTCCGAAGCAGCACATCTATCTCCAGATGAACTACCACCTCGTGAACTAGGAGATACATCCCAGGGAAGTGAGTGCAAGCCTCTTGAAGGTCCAGGAACATGCATCATGTGAGACTGGCTTGCAAGGTTACCTGAATTCATTGGCAGTGAAAATGGCTGTCTCAAGTCCAAGGAGCTAGTTATTGAGGCAGGTCTAGGTCGCACATGGGTGGGGCTGACACTAGAATGCCCTGCAGTAGTCCCAATTGGTGGTAAACCAAATGTAGTGAGACCCTGATTCGCAGGATTTGCTCTAACACAAAAATTTCTTTCAGAGCTTTCTGCAACTCCACGGGCACTTAAAGGAGGAAATATATCAGAAGCAGATATACTTGTACCAACCCCATTTCTTGGATTAAGATTTTCCAGATAACCAGCATTCTGCGTATTTGCAGCAGGGGATGATATGTTTAAGCTGCTAGAAGCATTATAACGACTAGGATGGAGATGGTTATCCTGCAGAATGTTCTCATGTCCTGCATTGGAGCTTGAACTTCCACCTAGAAAAGACCGTCCAGAGCTGCCTTCAAGGACCTTGTGCTTGCAGGATAAACCCCAATTATCCAGAGACGAACCTGATACATTACTGGTCCCTGACAAATAACCAGAACTACCTGAAGAAGTACCACTGTCATCAGATGCCCCAAAAGCCGGAGGACGCTCCGCTTCTGACCTGTCAGATTTGTAATCAATTGGAGGTACACTTGTTCGCATGACCAGCCGACCATCATCGTTATTGTATCTACCACTTAAATTAGCATTTACTGGACTATGATCCAAGGCAAGGCTTGATGATGTACTAGGAGGCCTGCCAATAAGACGATTGCCACCATAACCACTTGTAGGGAAGACATTAGAAGGTTCAAATTGCCATTCGGACCTTGAATTTGTCATAGCATAATCATTAGATGAGGAAGGCCAACCTTGTCCTCTTTTCAAGTCACTGCCACATATGCAGTCATGCAAATTAGCAGTGGAGCTGGACTCAACTTGATCCCAATTACTAAAACTTTGAGCATTATAGTTAACACCATTAGCATAACTAAGATTTTCTCCAGCGGAAGGAAGCATGGAATTTGACAGTCGATTCTCTACTGGATTCAGAAAGCTATCCCAAGGAGCTGTCTGATCCATGGCAGCATTATTTGAAATGGAACCCTGATTAAGATCAATTGTTTCTGGAAAGGAATCCAAGATGCTTCTGTCCCCTTGCATACGATCCAATTTTGAGAAACGCAAGATCCTTAAGAGCACCAGTGAAGGAGTTCCCTGAAATATCTACATTTACAGAAGTTTAGAGAGGAAAACGGTTACAACGGAATCTATTTTCCGACATTTAGTACAAACTAAAACGATTAACGACAAGTACTAAGCTGATTGCTCGTGCCTGAGAAAGCAAGCATCAATGGTTTTTCAGTATTCTATCAAAAAATAACAAAAAAGTAGAATGTACATGCCTTCTGTTAAGGATGGAGAAGTATATCAATATACAGTTAAAGATTAATATAAAAAAATTGTCAGACAATAAAATATGTAACAATCAACTACCTCAATCCCAAATTAGTTGGAGTCGACCATAGGTATTCTTTATATGCCTTACCACTCTATTCAAGTCCATTTTCACTCAAATACTAAGATAGGAGTACTTTTTAAGCACAAAATAAGGGTTCTATTCATTTCACACTAATAACATACAAGTCAAAAAATGTGGTGCAATAAATATATTAGCTTCGGGACTATCACCAAAATCCAACAACTCTGACCAATAAAAGTCAAATCCTTGGTATCACTGAACGGAGTTATAGAAGCAATTGAAAATTCAAAAACTCCGTCACAAAATCGTTCAATCAAAACACGAAAGAACAAAATTGATAAAAACCATTAGTAATAGAAATATTTGAACTTAGAATTACAGATCCTAATTTAAAAAGTACACGAAAAATCAAATAAATTATACTACTATTTATCTACTAGAGCAAAATACTAAGAAAAGCACCAGTACATTCAAGGGAAAAAGACGTAAAAAGAAAAAGGAACTTAGATAATGATCGGAAGCTGGAATTTAGATTACATATATATATATATATATATATGAGCAAAAAAATTAATGGACATATAAGAAAACCTGAGAATCAAATGGAGAAGATGATCGGTTAAGAGACCAAGTATTCTGGACCGAAACTCGGGTTTGCTCAGATTATTGAAGACGGTTTTGTGATGATGCAAGGAAATAGACAAGAACAGACCGCTCGAGAATATGGATAGATGAGCTGTGAGAGAGAGATAGTGTGTGTGTGTGTGTGTCTTGGTGCCTGTGCATAGGTGTGGCTTTCAGACAAAGAGGGCGTGGGGAACAGAGGGCCAAACAGAAAGATTAACAGCTTGTTTGGATGATTGTTACCTATTGTTTAGTTTCATATTGTTATTTTAAATATACTTATTATTATTACTGAAATTCTATATATTGTATTGTTAAATTTGTTATTATGTAATCATGAAAACTCTCATCTTACCCTTCTTTAATTTTTTTTTTAATCTTTTTTATATAATAATTTTATCCTATACTTTTTTTTCTTTATGATATTATAAATTTATTTTTGATATTGCTAGTGCATGACATTATGAAATAACGATAAATGATACAATCTATGTAAATGTTTTATTCAGTAAAATAATATAATATAATATAAAACAATACAATACGATAAATTATGAAACGATATGTAACAACCATCTAAACAAGCTGTAAGCAGTGATAATTGAATAGTTTTTTTAAAAAAAATATTATGAGATTAGAATTGTCATCTTTAAGTTATTTACACTAGGACGATATAATAATTCTTATTAATTTTTATGCCATTCAAGTGAACAATTTTTTAAGAAATTTATAAATTGTCAGCACAGAAAGTTGGAATTGTTTTGATATATACTTGGGATTTCCATTAGAAACAACTAACGTAATATATATATATATATACATACATATATATATATATATATATAGTGAAAGATCTAATACAATATATATTGAAAATCTATTTGGTTACACGATTAATAAGTACTATTATTTGCATGACTAACCGCTAAAAGAAAAATAAGTTATACATTTTATCTAAACCATGGAAAAATTAAAAAATAGATATATCCAACACCATTTTCATTCATAGTAAAATTGAATTGGATATCTTTTATTAGCATTAGTATTGATTCGATTTTGGTTTAGGATTTATTTGAGTTACTAACATTTATGGGGCATTTGCATCTATACCCGTTTTTTGGGTCACGTTTTAACTTGTACCCGCTTTGCAAAAAAATTGCAAGCGTACCCACTTTTTCGCGTAACTTCAACATACGGGCCTGAAGTAGCAAAGGCAATCACGCAAATTTCAGCATTCTAGTAGACGGGCCTGAAGTAGCAAAAATTGCTGAACCAAGTGTGCTGAAGTTTTTGTTTGTAATTGCTGAACTTAAGCATTCTAGTGCTGAATTTGTTCTCTATTTGCTGAAGTTTTTATTTGTAATTGCTGAAGTTTTTTTTGTCCTGGATTCATTAATTTTGTCATTAAGCTTTTTCAAAAACTTCAGCAGAAGATGCTGAAGTTATTTAGTTCATTCGTTAAAACTTCATTGTCCTGGATTCATTAGTTTTGTCATTAAGCTTTTTCAAAAACTTCAGCAGAAGATGCTGAAGTTATTTAGTTCATTTGTAAAAACTTCAGCACTAAATAAGCTGAAGTTTTTTTGTCCTGGATTCATTAGTTTTGTCATAAAGCTTTTTCAAAAAGTTCAGCAGAAGATGCTGAAGTTATTTAGTTCATTTGTAAAAATTTCAGCACTAAATAAGCTGAAGTTTTTTGTCCTGGATTGCTTTTTCAAAAACTTCAGCAGAAGATGCTGAAGTTATTTAGTTCATTTGTAAAAACTTCAGCACTATATAAGCTGAAGTTTTTGAAAAAGCTTTCTAACATACTAGATAAGTAATCACCTTATTCTTTCATAGTGTTTTACTACTATAAAATAATCAGATTGCCAACAGTATCTAAATCATAAACTTTGGAAATAATAAACGTGAAAACAACAGAATTATCATGAAAAGAATCACTAAGTGTGACCTTAAACTTCCCGTACGTGGAATATTCACAAATTATTGTCTACTAACTTACGTAATTATTTATAATTTATTTTTAAATAATATGATAAACATACTTATGGCAATCATCCCATGAACTGAAGTTTCATAGCAGCACCAACAGCAGCAGAAGAAAGAAGAAGAAGAAGAAGAAGAAAACGAAGGAGGAGAAGGAGGAGGAGAAAGAAAGCTGAAGTTGTTTAAAAAGTGGGTACAAGTTAAATTTTTTTAAAAAAATGGGTATAGGTTAAATGACGGCGACCAAATAGGGCGCCCCGTGCAATTTTTACAATATTTATGGACTATAAAACTTATTGGAGCATTCAAAAATTATAAGCTTGAAATAATACGTGAAAAGATAAAACTATGAAAAAGCTTAAGAAATATTTATAAACTACAGTACAATAAATATTTTTATTATTAAATATGTTCAAAACTTCTATACATATATTGTCGGGTTAGTTTGGTTGGTTTGACTTTTTTTAGTTAAAACCAAGCCAAACCAAATATGGTCCTTTTTTTTTTCCAACACCAAATCATAGTCGAGTTTTTTATTCTCGATTTGACTCGAATTATCAGGTTGGTGCGGTTTGTCGGTTTCATTTGTACACCCCTACTACTAGCTATCTCTTAGCAAACAAATAGACAAATTTGAGAAAACATTTAAAGGAAATTATTTGTAACAAACGGTTGCACTAAACAAGGTCTTTATAAAATTTAGAGGAGCACTATATACAAATTGAGGTGAGTTAATTTTGCTATATATATTCTTTTTCCATTATCATGAATTCTTGATGCGGACTTTGTAGTGTTTTTCTCTTGCTTTTGAAAATTGTATTTCAAGTTCAATGAATGATATATACACGATATATTTATAACAAGCATAAAAATAACCAAATAGATTTTCAATATAGGCAAAATACATAGTTTACCCATCGACCTTGTACTCAAATTCCTCTTACACACGTGTTAAACATGGGAATAGTATTATAAACCAAAACTTTTAAAAGTGTGTCAATTACACACCTCTTTTGCCATGTGTCACACGCGTGTATTACACATAAAAGAGGCGCGTGAAAACTACAAAATTCATCTGAAATTAAATTATTTTTTGTTTTTCCCTTTTTTTTTAAACTATTTTCTTTCCAAGTTAAAGAAAAAAATAACCCATGTCTTCTTCCCCAACCCACACTCTAGCGTTCCCCCCCCCCCCCCCC